ACCGATCGCTAAAAGGACGCGGGCTAGGATCCGCGCTACGCAGGCGGAGACCCTCAGTGAGCCTTGCGGCCTCCTCCATTCTGATCCCTCAAGAGTCAAGACTTCTACTCCTCTTGCGAAAGTTCGTTTGACCTTGTCCTTGTCACTGTCGGCAATGGCATCCAAATTCCAGGGGAGTTTGATCGGAGCATCTGGAGGCATTGAAGCTCCTGCGAAGCGGAGTATTCATAGAGGGAAAAGGAGCTTGGCGGGAGAATCGCAAGGGACAAGACACATTTTCCTCGGGAATATTTCGGTACCATTATATTCTGTCGATTGAGGTCAGCCGTGTCTTCGAGCCGAGAGGCGGAGTCATTTCGGATGTGTAGGAATCAGGGAATCACCTTCACGTTCTTCCAGGCCGGCTCCAGACTAGTTCTCACAGTGGCCGTGATTGTGGTGTCCTGCATCGTTTTCGAATTTTTGAAGCATGGAGTGCGGGAGGCGGAGGCCGCATGGCGGACACACGTTTCGATACGGAACATGTTGCTTCGCTGTACGCTCATTCGGAGCGGTGCGATCGCGTCTACTGATACGCTTTGAGAGTCGGATTTGTGAGCGACCATGATCGAGGATGCTTCTACCCTCAAAATTATTTAGCTCATATAGGTTTGCAATAAACAAGTTATCTTTTGTCGAGGACGCGAGCTATGGTTCAGCGCTCCAAGGGTAAGAAGTCCTCCAGACTTGGCAGATGTGGCAGTGCTTGGGCTAGCATCGAGAATGATATGATCGGAACAACTTGGGCTTAGCAAAAAGCCGCGGGCCCAGCTCAGCATGGAACTTGTACGGGTAACCGTGAGAAACGGCATGAAGCCGCAGCCGAGAGACGCGCCCCTTTTTCGGGCGTTTTGCGAAACCTAGGTGGCAGTGTCGTATCTCGCAGAGGATCCCATCATCCTGAAATGGAGCATTTGTGAGCGGGTCATGGTTCTAACGAAGCTGAGCGAGAAGACTTCGAGGCCCGTTCCCGGAATGGACCCATCGCATGTCCGCTACCGGAGTTTATGTCGGTCTGCGAGGCCATGTCCAGCAGGAACAATGTGCCCGAGCTTGGAACGCTTTATGATTCACGATCTGTCATTCTCCGTTCGGAATGAGGTAGATTATTTCGAAAAGCGTGGAAGGTAGAGAGCCAGCGACAGCACTGAAATCAGTCGAAACGTCTCTTCAAATACAGTTCTCTTCGGCCGAACAATAACGTAGCGAAGAAGGCTTCTGCAGAAAGTCGGCACTGTTCCATTTCTGAGAGGCGGGCTACTCGCGGCAAATTTTCGCATGTCGCTTCCCCGCCCATCTCTACTCATGCGAAACCTCTTGCATTCCCGTAGCGCCTGATGCCGCGTATGGAGGCCGAACTCGTGATCGGCTTGATGAGGCAGACAAGTCTCGCCCCTTGGTTGTAAGTTCCAGGTCTCCAGCAAAATACCACTCAATCCAGGAGATAAGGTTTGGAACTCGGAAATACGCTGTTGACGTCTCGGCGTTGTCCATTAAGCCAAAGTTACTCTTAAAATATAAAACTCAATAATACGCGAAGAGCTTTGGTCGGGGTCTAAATGTATTTGACCGAGCCAATTCTAAGCTCCCATAGACCGTCTTCCCTCGGCAAATCCACTTATTGAGTCCGTCGTTTCACGATGACCTAAGTGTTTGCTTAGGAAGTGGACTACCGGGGGATTAGTCGGGGGAATCAGTGCAGCCGAGACCTTGGTCCGAGACTTGGGCTTGTATTGGAAATTAATCGCACAAGAGCGTCGAACGTCCCGGGAGGCCGATGTCCCGGCGCGCAAGCCTCTTGCGCCATGACCTATCCGCGGGAGCGAATCCAAAGCTCTCGGCTCCTCGGATTCTCCCTCTCATTGCTCGAAAAAGTTGGAGTTCAAATATCTGACAACGATTGCCCGCGGACTCGTACGACACTGTTCGGCATTAGTCGAGCAGCGATCTTTCTGCTGAGCTCCTTCGACGTCGCAAGCATCTCTGATTCTACGGCGGTATTTCCACAGACTTTGGCGTGAGTTAGAGGGTTGGGAGGTGGGGAAAACAATGACGTGGGAGCATACCCAGACGCAGATTCTCTCAAGTAGAGGAAATATTTATCTCGGCATCCCCGCTTGTGATATCCGCGAGCTCTATGCGATCGCATTGGGAATCTCGCCACTTCAGACCACGAAAAGAGGCTTCCGCTCCGCATTTCCCGCCTCTTTCGGAAGAAGGAGCTGAAGGTTTCCGAGCCGGATCGGGGCCGAATTCCCAGCTCGGGACTTCGATATTTCAGAACGTTTGACGGAGGGGGGGCAGAAGAGGTCGAATGTTGGCACACTTTTGGGAATCAGGTCGTGACCTCCACCGTCGGGAGGGATATTCAGGGTCATTCAAAGGTCACGCGGAGATGAAGAAGCAAACCGAGAGGACTGATGGTCGCTGGCTTGTCGCGTTGTGGATTGTAGCTGACGATGCCTCTCATGAGTCGAGGTGTTCGAATCCATATCGATGACGCAGGCTGGCGTTCATGCTTACACCATCATTGGATGATCCTGCGCAATGAGCTACCTACATCGGTCATCGCGGGAAGCCTCCGGGATAACAGCTGGGCGGGCGCTCCAGTCGCGAATCGAAAGCCGCCCGAGGTCAATTGACATGGGAACAAGATGGAACAAGGGAATGACGCGAAGAAAATTCTCGACACAACCCTATCGGTCTCCGACATATCACCGGCCACAACGATTATCCGACCCCCAGAGCTCGAAGTCGGAATCGAGACAAGGCCACCTCGCCCGCCTCATACTCAAGAGGCGAGGGGAGAGAATATCGATGAATATTAATCGATTCATGACAAGGGCCGTTCCTCTACCTGGGTATCATCATCGCAATAACGAAGGAGGCACGCAACGACGAGCAGCCTCGCCTCGGTTCCGGCTGTAGCGTCTCGAGTGAGGCATTCACTCCACTGCTGTGAAGATGAGCCAGTCGAACATTCCAACGTCGAACACGCGTTCGAGTCAACTTGGGGCGGATATACTCAGCGGTCGGACCGACTGCTTCCAGGCCGAGGGCTCACTCGATCAAATGTGTGATCTGGTCATTTGCGACAATCCGATTGACGAAACCAAGAAGTTGTACAATGTATGGGCTGCTAATTATGAGGACGACATGAAAGAATCGCTTTACAAGGCTCCTGAGATTATTGTGCAATATCTTGAGTCGACGATAAATCTTCCGAAGACTTCGAGAATCCTCGATGTCGGTTGCGGAACAGGACTCGTGGGAGCACAGCTTAGAAAAAAAGGTCAGTTTCCTGAAAGGTTGAAGAGCGTCGCGCGAAAAAGCTTACGAAAGTCAAAACATCCCGCGAAACGCTGAACACTAGGATTAGACTGTGTTGTAACAGGACGCGAGAGAGCCCTAAGAGAGGATCACGTAAGGAATGTAACATACGCGAATATTCTTCCAGGTTACACTAGAATTGACGGAATCGACATGAGTGAAGAAATGCTCGCCTTGGCGATCAAAAAGAACTGCTACAATCTCACCAGGCTCGGCAAAGTCTCCCTTCACTGCGCGGCAAAACTCGTTCCGGTCTCTTATCAATACGATGCCATGGTTCTGTGTTCTTCATTCCAGCCGGGTCATATCACTCCCGTCTGCCTCGGAAAACTTGCTGTCCAGCTCGCTCACAGAGGACACATAGTCTGGTGCTCTAGAATGCTTCCCGACGAAAAGAAAATCAGAACTCCGTTTGAAGAGAGAAGTTTCCAGGTAGAATCCGTGCAATGACGAATCTCGAATCTCGCATGGATGTCCCGAAATTCAGCCGGAGTATTTTCAATCCCTTGCCTCTGCTGCTGCAGGAGGCGCTCTTCAGATTGAGGGAGGACTCAGGCTTGGCTCCACTTCCATTTAGAATCGAAGAAGGCTTCCAAAGAAACGTGAGGGGTGTTTTGGGTCACCTGCAGAAAAGTTGTTCCCATCCTCAATTGAAAGCGTGTAAAAGCAACAACTGTATGCAAACTATCATTTAAATCACGTGGGATTTTGATAAATGGAGGAGCGGACGGCTTATAGATGGCTTGCGTTGACGGATTGAGCCTTCTTTCAAATTCGTGATTTACAGACGGCGTGACAGCCCTTCGATATTCCGCTCATCGTTCGATTCGTGCTCCGACAATCTCATCAGAAATCTCGACGTGGAAGTTAAAAAACTCAAGCCTCTCGAATACGATGGCGGGATATGATCGTTTCGCGATATCTCCTAGAAATGTACGGGGGCGCCATCGTGATACCCTATTTTCGGGGAGAAAGTCGGGGGAGAATCAAACTTTTCATTCAATCCTGCTCTCCCGCCATGTCCCCGTTCGGACAAGTTCGCCCCTCGAATTACTCGTCATTGCCTCTGGACGCCTCAATAGATTCAATTCCCGATTCAAGGACTGTTCACCCTTTGCTTAATTTGACTGACATCCCTCAAGCCTAATCTCTCCATCTAAGACCATGAATTCTCAAGAAGCCGTTGAGAACTCCACGATTGGACCTTTGTCCAGAATGAAACTGTTGCCATTGGCGGTCGCTGCTTTGGTAGCTCCTGTGAGGAGCTCGCTCGTGCCGGTCGTCCATCCCCACACTCGGAGTAAGTGTGCGCCTTGACAACACGCTCCCTCGACCTAGCAATCAACCACGCAAAGAGTTGTTCCTGCTTTGGGGTTTCTCTTCGCTAATTGTGAGTCTGCATCTTATGCGGAGTATCTTATGTCATTCCGGCAGCGAAAAGCTAAGCGGATTAGGTCCCGGGGAGCCGTCCGAGTTCCCATTCCGACCACGTCGAGGCTCTCGAGAAACGTCGCGTATGACGTCGGAAATGGAGTTTTGATCAGAAAAGTGGCTTCGAAGCCTCGAAGCTTCTTCTGGACCGATTCTGGCTCCTTAGTCGCTTCCACCACCAATGTCGGCAGTCTAGCCTCATGTCTGGCCTCGAGCCCACGAGTTTCAGCAATGAGCGTCAGACTTTTAGATCGGCGATCAACATTCGGAAGTACGAGGCCGAGAGGGCACGATTATCGCTGGTGGAGCAGGCCTGGTGTGAGACGTTGTTCAAAGAGATGATACTTTTCTGCGTTCCGGAATCGAGTCTCCTCGAGGTATCTATTCCGAGAGAAGCGAATTCAACGTTTTCAAGCTCCGAGGGTGGGAATTTAGCATCCGATTCCATTTCATCGTAACAGTTTTCCGCGTGGGTTCCCTAGCTCTAGCTTGTAATTCCGTTGCCTTTCGCGGCAGTCTCGCAGAGCCGCGCAAGATTCGCTTGACCAACTCTGAACTCGGACTCTTGCTCCCATCCACAGACAATCGGTGTCTCGGCGAGCTGGGATGTTTCCCAATAACGACCGATTTCTTCCACCCCCTGTGGAGGATGATGAACGTCGCGGTGGACTCACGTGAGACGATTAACACCAAATTCATGTTCCACACGAGGAAAAACATGTATACGCCGGACGTCGTCGCCGGTTACAACATTCAAGGGAAGCTGCTCGACAGGATAAACTTCAATGCTAGTCTGGAGACCAAGGTATATTTCAAGAATCCCTCTCTGTGACCCGCATTGTTAGGAATGACGCAACTCTCCTTTTAGATCCGATTCTCTTTGTTCCCCTCACGTTTCGTAGTGAATTCCGATTCAAGAGATTCTCGCTCAGTTTATAGCGCACGGTTTTCTGGACACTCAATACTTCGGAGAGTGGCAGGCGCTCCTGAAAACCGAACTTCTGATTCGCGAGGATTTCAATGTGATCATCGTTGATTGGATGGGCGGAAACGGTCTCCCTTATACGCAAGCGGCCGCGAATACACGAGTTGTCGGGGCTGAAATCGCGGTGCTCGTCAAGAAGCTCCAGGTGCTTGTTTCCTGAATCATCCTCTATGGATAAAATGAATGAAATCACCTTCTCTGAGTTTCGACCGGTTTCCCGCTGAACCTGGAAATGTTGCGCTCTATCGCAGGCTAGATTCGGCATCAGTTTGGATTCCATCCATATCTACGGACACAGTCTAGGCGCCCATATCGCTGGTTACGCGGGCGCCGCTCTCGATGGAAAAATCGCTCGGATCACGGGCCTCGACCCTGCGGAACCGTTTTTCCAACATCTGCCGCGCTCCGTCAGATTGGATACAACAGACGCTCAATTCGTTGAGGCTCTTCACACGGACTCCAGAAATTTCGTGACATCTTTGGGTCTCGGTTTCAGTGAGCCTCTGGGACATTTGGATCTCTTCCCCAACGGAGGGGAAAAAATGCCCGGGTGTGAATTGATTGGGAGGTGAGCGAAGGGAGGCGAACTGAAACCCCATGCCCGCTATCGTTCTCCCTCAATGCAGGGACTATTCCGGTTTGGTGAACAAGACTTCTTTAGCCGCTCTGGTTGTAAGTATTTCCTCGGGTGCCGACGTTACCCAAGAGTTTCGCTCCCATTTAAGGATGAGGGACTTCAAAGAGACGGGTATTCGAGGCCTTTCGAAAGTCGGAGCTTGCCACCATTTGATGTCGACGGTTTACGTGAGGAATTTCTTAAACCCCAAGAATTCCTGTGTGCCGGTGGCGTTTAGCTGCGAAAATTACGAGATGTTTAAAGGCGGACGCTGCTATGATTGTGGTGCTGACGGGTCAAAATGCGCTCCGGCTAATTACGATTCGATGGCATACTTCAAGCAGTTCGCGGATGTGAACAATGAAGAGAGAATGTTCTTCGACACAGCGCCGTCCGGCGACAACTACTGTCGTGAGTCCTTGTTTTTAATTCCTCCTGGCGTTAGGGAATCAGCGATCAGAATTCCTCTATCGCTTAATAGAATCCGACCTGAGTCTCCTAACTTCTCGCTAGTGTTCCACTACAATGTCGCAATCAAAATGCGGCGGACCGAGCGTGGAGGTTCAAGGAAAATCGCTGCCTCGGTTGACGGATCGTTCTTCTTGACAATCAAGGGCTCCAAGAACACAGAGGAATTCAAAGTGAAGACACCGATGTAAGTGGGCCCTAGAACAGGTGTGCACAGCTCCGGGGATCTCGAGGGCCACTCTCCCGGTCCGAAAACGAACGGCGGGCCGTGGCAATCCTCGATGATCCGATTCTGGACGAAGGTGCTTTCCATCTTTCAGTTTCCGAAACAATGTGGAAAAGTGAGCGTCTGTCATCGGTCGGTTAGACTTTTTCCCCATTCCAAGTCTACCATGGCCATGTTTATGAAATGTTTGGCGGTCGGCATTTCCTCCCGATTCCGACCCGCTCGTCGTGAACACTCAGATTAGCGTAGCGGGCCGCACGGGACGACGCCGAGGGCTGTTTGCGGCCCGCAGACCTTTCGTTGTGCACCCCTGCTCTAGAATTAGTGCACATGATCTCAGAACCCGATCGGATTCCTAGCTCCTACCGCCTTGTCGGCCTGACGGTCTTCGTATTTTCCCCAGGTCTTCGATGCCTTCCGGTTCAAGTAACTCAGCTCTAATCACAACATCGGAAGATCTCGGCGAGATCAGGGAGATTTCTTTCAGATATGTGGCCAAAGAGCTGATTCGTTCTCCAAAGATGGAGCTGGATTTCGTCAGAATCACACCCATGAACGTGGTCGTGCCGAGAGCGTAAGTAGCCTTCCAGGATATTCGAGCTCTCTCCGAGAAACCAGAGCATCGAAGCGCGGAGCTACCCCCGACTCCGCGGTCGTTACCCCGTCTCACCGGAACCCCTGGCGCTCGAACGGACGATTCTCTGGCGAAGCGTTGTCCCGCTCCGGACCCTAAGAAAGTATAAACATGAGAACATACCTGCGGTGCATGGAGCTTCTCCCAGCGAGTTCTGACGAATATATGATTTCCTCGAAGGTCAGGTGGTTCGGTTAGAACCTCACCGGCCGCTCAGAACACCCCGCTCGAAACATCGGCCCTGCGTCAGGCCCCGCTGTACTGTGAAGGGTACTGCTGACCCTGAGCGACCCTGCAATCGTTTGCGCAGCGATGAGGATCTCGAAAAGTTTCCGCTCCTGACTGAGTCAGATAATTCCTGCCGTTCGGCGATGTGAATGTGCTGAGCACATCCCTGTAGTTTAATTTGGGTTTCGGAATCCTCAATGGGGATCCTGCGTCACTCAGCGAGAGGTTCGGCTCCGATGCAGAGTCCGGGGACCTCATTGAATTAGATAAATCCGCGTGCGCATTGAGTCTGCTCGATCGTTCGAGCCGACTGAGGACGGATCAAAGCTGAACTCGTCATCTCGTTTTTTCTTTCCGATTGAGTCCCGAACAGTATATTGCCTCGGCAACAACCCAGAGGTAGGTATTTAGATCGCAGTCGGCCTGGCGCTACTTTTGCGGGATCGCGAAAACATGATTTGGATGAACCGGTTGCGCGCGTGGAAGAACTTCCGCTGAGATTAAGAGGGGTCACGTTGGCTGTCATTTGTGCTTATCTAAATCGAAGGTCCACGCACAAGAGGAATGCCATGTCGGCGTTATAAGGTGTCGCTCTCCGAAAATAGACGGCAGCTTTTTCCGGAGGACGACTTTCGGGAGCTCCTCCTCTCCTCGCCGCTAAAACCATCTCTCACACTCGCATCACTCCGAGGACCGAGCCACTCGAAATAAATTACATCGCGGAAAAATTGAAGCTTTCGCTACTGAGCGTTCGTGCGTGGGAGTCACTTGTCTTTACGAGAATGTATTCCGAGCACGGAGTGCCTGCATCCGCAGAGCGCGGAGAGGAGATGAGCCGGAAGATTTTCAGTTGGAATCCACCTCTGCTGAAGGGGGACCTAATTCACCGATATCCCCGGACGAAATGCGACTTGGAGAGACGCTCCGGAATTATTTGAGTCTCGGAAACATACCTAATGTCGGCTTTCTCCCCTTCAGGTCGCTGAGGATTCTTTCAACCACGGTTTGCCCATCAATATCGTTGGAGAGTGCGAAGGAAATTTCTTTGAATGCCGAGAACTGCTTGCTGAAGTGACGGATCAACGCCGCGATTCGATATTCCTCAAGTGGGAATAAAGCCTCGTTCGGTAGCAAGCTTGATCTTCGTTGCGTCGATTCTCAGTGATTTTTTGCTCAATGAATGGATATGGGAGGAAGGTGGGGCGTGTATTGAAGACCGAGAAGGGTTCATGAATCATGGATCCGAGCTCGTCCTCTCGGCATAAGGCTGGGATGAGTCCAGTCTCGGGTCTAGAGGGAGTTGAGACGCGGAAATGCACCTTCGTCGCAGCCTCGAAGTTGCAACTCGAGTCTTCACTCCCAAATGCGTAGGAGTTTGCTTTCCCTCATCAAGAGTATCACATTCCTTCAAAACGAAAACACACACTTTCGCTCGCGACATCAAGATTTCGCGGATATCCATCAACACCGTCGTGTGACCTGGCTCGCCTGCAGAGACACGAGTAGAGGTCGACTTTGTTGTCACAAAAGAGCGTTCGCTGAAGATAAAGAGCATTGAGAAAATGCTCTTATGGGCGATAAGGTCGGAGCTTGGAGAGACGTCCACGCTTTCTAGAGAACAGAATGCTCCCTGGATCCCCGGTCCTCGGCGAATCGAGCGCTCCTGAGTCAGCGTACAACATCCTCAGCATTGCAATAATTTTCGCGACACGCGTCGAAAAAAGGTCAGAGGTGACGAGTGACGGATGCTTTCCTGAGTCCTGAGCAATGAGTTAGTGTTCAAGACTTGGGAAGCGAAGCCCGGAAATGATATACTCCATTCGATATACTTGGAATACAGTGGCCCCTTATCGTGCGACCGTCGGGCAGGTAATGCTCGTCTAGACGCCCATGAAGGAGCATTCGAAAAGACGGGAATAGGAGTACGGGCATCGTCCTGAGGAGAACAATCCATGATAATTTCGTGATTCTTGAACGGGCGGTGGGTGGCCATGCAAGAAAACTCAATTTTGCACATAACGTCTTTATTAACAGGTCCGATCATTATGATGGAAGTCATTTAGGTGGACAGAAGCCAGATGTGCGTCGCTGCAGCAACAGCGGTTCGCAATGAGTCTCTCGTGATGATACATGATGATAAGATATAACTTCGTCCTTTCGTTTTCGTGGTAGAATAATAATCATAAAATAATAATAATGATAATAAGGAATGCGATAATTGTCGTTTCGTTTCCTCGAAGATCTAGCCCGTTCTCGTTTCCACTCTCTTTATTGACATCGAACTGAAACGCATTAAAGCCAACGGTCGGATCGCTCGCAGCTGCGCGACTCATACGAGGATGCAGATGGGAGGAAAGCCATCGTGCTACATCGCGCTCTCTGCTGAAATTCTATGCATCATCACCAGATGCCGATATCTGTGTAGACTGTAGACCTTCCACAGAGGCATGAGGCAAAACAAACGAATGCGGATACGATTATCGTCGCTTTTCGTCGACTCTCCAGGTCGGAGAATCGGTCGTTCTCGAAGCTGCTCCTCACCATGAACTCGTACTGCTGCTTCTGCTGAGCAGAACAGTTCTGTCTAGAGATCTTCTCATCAAGCATATTCCCAATCGAAGACGAGCTGTACAACCAGAAGAGCAGAGCTGATAAATTCTTTAAATAGCAAATGCACTACGTTATGGAACTCTTCAACAGATTCGTGAACTGAAAGATGGTCAATGTAGGCAGGAGAGTATAGAGGGATCCTTGACGGCTGAGTCGTCGTCGAAATATCCGCGATTGATTGTAATGATCGCAAATGAGTGATCAATGATTCACAAATGGATGACTTCGCGCCTCCGCTGCACGCGAGAGGAAAAAATCACACGCTCTAAAAGTGGTCAGATCGAAAACAAATTGTTACAATTAATAATCATGAAAGTTATTACACAGATGATGAAATGGCTGTCGGGGACATTTTCGGAATGATGGGTTCCGATCGATCGATACCCTGATCGATCGATCTGGACATTGTCCCACGGCTGCCCAGGCCTGTACACGTTCTAGGGAAGGATTAGCTGATCGATGGCCTGATTCTGAGGCCATTCAATCGACTCATCAATCGATCGATGCTTGTTCGCCTTCCGCTCGACTGATCGATGAAGCAGCTTGAGCAGCTTGCGATGAATTGCGATAGCTGATCCCGCAGCCGGAGACTGACACGTGAAGAATAAATTAGTCGCGATATTCTACACTTTGAGGGGGATCAAACGAACATCTTTCGACGTGACAGAACTCTTACAATTGCTACACATAACTGAATGCTCATCGACGATACTCTCGCTCTACAACGTTTCGTTGTAATTGTAACCGATCATTATATGGGGACGTCAGATACGCGCATAGGAGACAATTATTCTCATCGCGCTCTTTTCTCGTCATCTCTGTCTCATTTGAATCCGTAGAATATAAAAAGTATGGTGCTCTGGGAGTCTATCCTACTCGTAGAGACAACAAGAGGAGTCAATGGGGGTCTGGAATGAGTCGGAATGATATCGAGACGCGTCTTTCTCGCTTTACGATGGAACGGCGCCGATATGCTTGTTGTGGTGACTGGAACGCAGTTTTTGCGTCGGGAGGTTGGCGGAAAATCGCAGAATCCGGAATTGATCCACGCGATAGGGTTCATTAGGCCGGCAAGGGTTTGGTTCCTGGCTGTGAAGGTTTTCGGATGCGCATCGTTCGGGCGGGGGAGGTCGGAGATGCGAACGATGACGGTGCAGAGCGGCGGGCCTCTAACCGGCAAGCACGTTGATCATTTTGTCGATGCCTTTCATCTGTGTTTCAAGCATCAGTGCCTGAATGCAAGCTCTGAAAACTTCGTTTCGGAAGCAATCTTTCCTGTAAAACGGAGAGCTCCGTTAGGCGTTTCGGTGAGTAGGCAGAACGTTCTCCGTCCTCCCATAGGGTCCCTGAGTAAAGGCTGGACCCAATGTCAGATACTAGCGATTACTCCGACGGACGTCCTCGACTCCCGGCTGGGACAGAGCCGCCTTGCACAATTATCGACAGGAAGAAAAACGAACGAGTCGAAGAAGTCGACAATGAGCTCGGATCCGTGGATAAACCCACGTCGACGACGCGGCAAACGACCGACGTTGTCTTCAATAACTATGGTAATCATCGTCGTTCCGAGCCGGGTGATGAAAAGCATAATAATCATTGCGCGTATGGACATTTCTTTTTATCTATCCGTTTGAGGGCGATCAGCGAATGCTGAAAGGATCGTTATGGACTTGATTCTTGGTCCCGTCGATCAAGAGCAAACTTTATATTATTCAAGACAACATCCAAGCTTCTCGCAATCACGCAAGCTCAATGACCATTACACGAACAGCTCGTTCTTATACCCTTGTTCGAAGAAATTTCTCGAGCCCACAATAATTGTAGCACGAACGCCACCCGCATCTGGGTTACTGCACACCATGGGAAATCTCGGGAATAAATTCCCCCGGCTGGGCTGATTGATCTTTTACTTTTTTATCTTATTCTCTAATTAACTCAGGGGTCAAATCTTCCGGGAGCTCGCGTTCCTCCCGCGGGTGGCACACTCGAGATCCCGGAATTGAGGACATGGAGCGATAGTTCCCCTCAGCGAGAATCTGACGAGATTGAAGCAAAATAAACGCGGTTCTATGGGTTTTGAGATAATCGCTATGAAAGCTGATACTTACGGGCACTGCTTTGAGATAGCGGGATCGCGGTAAAGTAGGTAGCACTCCTCGCAAAACCTGTCCAGCTTGTAATAGTATTGTTCGAAGGTGGGTACGTAATTCCCGCGGCAGCCGTTCTCTATGATGGACCTTTTGTGCAAGATGCGCGCTTCGTTGGGCTCAGGCTGGAGCAGAAGAACTAGAAGCAGCACCAGATAAGAGTACGACGGACTCGCCGCCCGAAGGCGCTTCAACGCTCCCGGCTCCTGAGAGGTTGTGGGCCGCTTGTTCATCTGGAATTTCCCGAGAATGATTTCTGTCATGAGAAGCGGAGACACTCGGCTCGTTGACCTACTTCGCGCTTAGTTTCGGAGCGCCGGCTTATGAAAACAGAGGAACTGGCAGCGCAAGGGTCCTTGCGCGCGAACAGGTCTGGAGCTAGTCTGAGAAGAGGCAGCCGGCGCCAAGCCGTCTGCGATTACTCTTGGACAACCCTTTCTGCGAGATCGTGGGTTGCCGAAACGACTATGATCATCTGTCAGTTTGTGAATGTATGTGTGTTGGCCTGTGTTCTTGCCGAACGAACTTGTACAATGCGTCCATGCCGTCATTCAAATGCTCGATCGATCGAATCGCGGGCTAACGTCACGTAATTGCTTTTCATTGGAACCATGTTCACGGAATCACAAGAAACGAAGGGGAAAACCACAGGGAAGGAAGCCGACTGAATGAGACGGCGGGCGTCCCCTCGCAAAGTCCGTGACAACTCTGTCGGCGGAAACGATCCCGAAGCTCGATTCTCGAGCGGCTATTCTCAATCTGGAGAGTCGCTTCTGACAAGAGTACGCCTTCTTCGTTCTAGTCGCATTTGACTTGGATCTTGCCCTCTCGTTTCTCTCACGCCTAATCTCTATGTTCCGACCGACGGATCAGCTCCCGAGTCAGTTCGATGGACGGTCGATTCGGAGAGCCGGAATCAGAGCCGGCAGTAATAAGGATCGCTCGCCGAAAAATGATGTCAACGAGGGCTGCCGAACACCTGACGACACCGAGGTGTTCCGTGAGGAATGTCTGACCGCTATTGGCTCTACAGCAGCGGCGTTCTTTACGCCTGATAATGAAACAATGACGGCCACTAATCGAGTAACGCAACATCGGGACGGGATCGATCGAGGGCAGTTGAGGTAAAAAGCATCGAAACTTTCGCTCATCTGCGACGACGACTTCTTTCGATGTCGACGATGCTGCTGCTACTGCTGCGGCTGGATTCTATGGAATCGGCGGCCGGCTCGATGTGGCGGCCGATTGTGGCCGCGATGTGCCGTTTTTTCTTTCTTCGTCTTCTTGAAGAAGCGCGAAAGAATTCTCATGGGGCGGCCCTCAAGAGCTCGAAAGCTCACAAGAGTTCGATCAATGGTGAAGTTAGTCAAGTGACTGAAGCAGACAGGTCGTCGATGGCGGCGGCGGCGACGACGGACGGCGTTCGTCGTGGTCGTGAAGGCAGCAAAACGCTTCAGAAGACAGACGCCTTCGAACGGCCGCATTTTTTTTTCTCTCGCTGGTTCTCTTGTGTTTTTTTTGCTCCGACCAACAAGCGGGTCAAAAAACAATTACTCTCCGGATCGTCATCAATGATTTTGAGAGAAAAATAAAGCCAGTCAACCAGCCCTCCCGAACATTCTGGGATGCTATCAGGTGCCGGGAGAGTTTCCGCAGGTTTTCAAAGGCTACCGCCCATCTGAGGCGTATCGGAATAGACGGATTTGCGCTGCCGTATCGGAGCCACGGGACTTCAATGAACGTATTCAAAGTTTGGGTGAAGAGCTCATTCCGTGAGCAGATCTCCTCAGCCAGGAGACATCCGGATGCGATCGTCAGAGGCTCGAAGAGAGCAGGAACGGGAGAATGAGAGCTCAGGCCCGGACTCAGGTCCGACTTGATCCCTTTTTTTTTCTCGCTGCGAGATCAATAAGCAGAGTGGAGTTTTGTCGCTTCCTTAGGGTATCGAGTTAGTTCCGTCCGCTCACTATTATCGACCCTTGTAATAGACGCATTGAGCCATTACGATAGTCAGAAGAAGCATCCGAGTTGTCTCGAGAGAAGATCTCGTGTATATCGCCCAGGCGGTGCTTTGGAGCTGACGATAGCAACTGTCAGATAGACACATGGTGCGGAGACGAAATAAGTGAAGATGACGACAACGACGACGACGATGCCCACAACGACTTAGACGACAGTGACAACGACAACGTCGTCGACGACACCGTGAGTAATATTATCGGTATTCCCCAGAGGGAACAAATACTGTGACACGATAGCTGGTCGGCGATTCTGGCGGCAATGGCAAACTAACGACCGAACGCGCAGAGCGAGCAAACACATGAGCTTCGCACAACGTCGGCGCCCGTCGCGGGGAAGGAAGAAGCTTTGAGGCTTGAGCATTCTGAAGACAAAACTCAGAAGTGACGGCAACAAGTCAAGCTCGATTGTCCGGTAGCTAGCCCCATCGCGTCGACTATCGATGGACGATGCCGAAGCGCGAGCAATGCGATCGGGAATCGCGGAGCTTCCGCGGATCGCGAGGACAAGAAGGAGATCTTCCAGGTTTGTTTGGACAACAAGGGCTACGTACTCTGGTTCGGAAGATTCTACGGAGCCAGCGGACCCTCCTCTCGGGCTCGATACTTGGAAGCTCTCGATGTAGTTGAAGTAGATGATGATCCTAAGAGGGGTTTATACGGCGAGAAGCAAGCTCCCAGCTTACCTGATTCAGATGAGTCCACAGGAAAGAAGAAAGTGTAGATACTGAGATTGTTAGGGGGTGCGTGAAACTTTCCGGAGGGTCTGTTGCTGGCTAGCTATGTACGGGTCGGCTCTCCGTCGAACTTCCTGCGCGAACTCCAACTATAAGGTGAAGTTCGAACGACGAAGACTACCACGACGACGAAGACGGCTTGGTGATTACTAGGCTGTTGCTGATCTGAGACTGTTGAGCTGTGATGATAATCGCGCGCGTGTTGCTTCGAAGCTCACCTCCGCGACTCCCCTCGCGAAGACGCTTGCCATTGGTTCGACCCTTTCTCAGATGAGTTTCTCTCTCTTTACGGCAAACAAGCGTCCCTCACTCGGTGACGTCAGCGCACGATGTTCACCGATTGTCTTTCGACGATTGTGACCCGCCCAGAAGCAGCAGCAACAACAACAACAGCCTTAACAATCTTCCTCCCTACAACGGATCTCTCGGGTCGTATTAACAGTTACAGAGTCACCAACTGACTGAGTGAGCACCCACCCCGCCGCCACGCGGTCAATCAGGCAGGCGGTGTTTACGATCAATTTGGAGTGGGAGTTCCTGAGCGACCCCAACCACCGTCCACTCTATGTATTTCGTATTGAACTTAAATCCATTTATCAGCGGGGTCCTTTCAATTCGTCGGGCCAGAAATGATTCTCGGAACGCGGAACCCTAGCCCAGACAGGGCTCCGCCGAGAGCTGATGCAATGTTTCAGGAGGGAACACCTTCGCTAAGTTGTTGGTCTCCGTCAGCAGTAGTCCGTAGGGACCACGGATGCGACCCGGAGAACTTTCTCGAAGATCGAAGACGTAGGCGAATGTCTCGACTAGTTCTATAAGCTAGGTATTCTCGTTTCCTATATGACTCCGAAGTTTCCGGACGGAGGTGGGACGGGCGACACTTTCGGTCGACATTTACCGGATGGGCTCGGGAACAGGTGGGCCGCTCCCGTCTACCTCCACCTCTCGCTATCCTGGAGAAGATCCCTATATTGGCTCGAGTTGTGCAGCTACTTGTCGTGCCCTGCTCGGACAACCACGAAATGCCTTGGAGAATACTCTGGAGCGGTCTAGGACACTTTCGCGACGTGTTCGGGCAACTGCCTCGGGACTCACATACATCCATACATAACGGTCGCATGTGATCTGGCGATGGACGCCTAAGCATCACTTCAGGAGTCTCACTCACTCCGCCGCAGCCTAGACAGATCACTGCTGACGTGGAAATATCTTCACACGTTGATCAGAGCTGTCTGGGAAATGCGATCGGGTTTCTATTCCAGGATGGTCAATTCCCAGCACATATGCCGCAGGTGGGAAGACGACTTTGATGACGTCACGACTCAGATTCACGTGAGCTGCTTGGCCCACGATCGCAGGCTAGCGTCAGGTCGAGCGAGCTGGCGGCTTCCATCCTCGTATGAATCACCGGGAGACCGGAAATGAAGTTTACCCATTTACATCGTGAAGCGGTCACATTTACCGGTTTTCTGGGGAAGAAGTTATTTGAAAATTCCTACCATCCAACTGCAGGAGTTATGCAATGACTAGATAGAGCTCAGTCGACTGCACGGGTCAATCGATACAGGAATGGCCCACCCTAGCACTTTAGCTCATCCGAGGACGATGGCTTTTCCGGACGAGCTCCTCTGTCGCCGAAGATGCCCTGGTCCCTCCATCTCGGTTTGATCAAGATCGGAAACCAACCAACCGTGCGTGGCTGTCATTCTCGCATCGCATTCGCCATGTAGGTCCTAGGATAGGGAGTTGCACGTGTACACCCACCCCCGTGGGACTCGTCACCGTCTTTGACGTACAAGTTTGCGCCTTATTGCAACCCCCATGGCCTGAAGTGTCTTTGATGTTGATGTTGCTCACAACAAGAGTACATGCTCGATGTCTCAATCGACTGAGAGCTACGATGCGTCGAACGACAATAAAACCCATCACCGAGGAAACCCATCGTCGATTTAGATTGACGATTTCCACCCTCTCAGGCAGCCGGAATCCTAGCAGACATCGATCGCTCGTTCGATTTATTCTGCTGAAGAGCGAAGGTGCCGTGAAGAAATGATTGTGCGCGTGGGTCTTCTCACGTACATTATTATACCGCACCTGACGTGTGGCACTCGGCTCAATCACCAAAGTGCTCTGCTGCTCGGGAAAATGAACTCATTTTTTCTATGGAGCCAGGTGAACTTGATCCGCACGAATTGTTCTGAAACTCTACAGGTAGGGGGAAGTACCAGTCATGGAACAGGTGCCAGTTATGGAACCATACTTTTAACATGGGGCTCCGTGACCCGGTCACGGAGCTCCCCGTAGACTTCTATGGAGTGTTCCATAACTTGTACGGCCCCCGAATGAACTGGGGTTCTATGGGAATTTCCCTTAGGTGTTCCATAACGGGTACTTCTCCTCGAGACGCCAGCCAACGCGACGTCGGGCAACCTCCTTTTTGAGAATCGGAGACTGGGCGTATGAGACTCCTCGACAAGCTCTCGGGAGAGGATAAGTTCTCTTGGGGCGCTTTCTCCCGAAATCGGTGATTTTGCAACGATGTCGATTCGGTAACGAATAGAGATAGGATTATGATCTCATTTCTCCTCCGAGAGTCAAATATCAGAGCTCTAGGGTGGACGAGTCACATCAGAATCAAATCCCTCGTATTTTGCACTGGAAGACATCTCGCTTCAAGAAGAAGCGTCTGACTTTTCAGCCACCCGTAGGATGGAAATGTCTGAAGTCTCGACTCGAGAGTCCGACTCCGGTTCCTGAGTGTCCAGCGGAGGGAAAAATCCTTAAACAGGGTCCAGAAGTTCTCGAACTCGTTTCATATGCAGCTGTTTCTTATGGGCTAGACTCCGATCATGGAGGAAGGGTTCCGCGATGTGTCTCTCATGAGCGCTCCTATTTTGCATGCAAGTCTTTCATGGTCTCCCAGCTTTCGACCGGCGCGGAACCGTGGCGTCCCCGCATCATGACTCGCAAGTTCCTATGCGCTGGAAATACCACAATTTCATATTCTTGGAAACCATTTCCATTCCCTTTCATCCCCAAATCTTCAAACCTGGCTCATTCGGTGATGGATTGAGGGAGTCATCTCATTGAACCATATCTGATATTCATTCCACGGCGGTGGAGTCCCGTCTGCTGATGGCGATATTCTCCTCGGGGGAGAAGCGCTCTTGTATCAGCTGGGGTTCATGAGCGAATCAAACGCTGTCGTCGGCTGGCGACGACAGGATCAGAGGCCGTCCGAGAGTTGTTTAACGTCATCATGGACGGGTGACACCATCGAATTTCGACGTCATGGCCGCCGTCTGAGAGCAGATCGCTAGCGGAAAAACGAATCTCTGCTCCACGCTGCTCGTCTGACATTGGGAGCGTCTCATTGCTAGTGCTTCCGCTATCGCATTGTTATTGTCCGTGGTAACATTCAGGACGAGAACTCTTTGAGCGGGTCTCTCGATTGACCAACTCGATCGAATTCGCGAATCCGTTCCACAGAGCCCACGAGCTAAATCGAGGAGACTCGGTGTTTGGGTTCTCGGCCCCAGAGCGGAGCCCTCGTGAGATGATTCCTCCTTCTATGGTCTTTTCGGTTCGATGTTTCTTCGGTTCTCTTCCTGTCCATGCGTATACCGCATCAAGCAGAACCCAATGTGTGTGAATTCACAAGTCCCAACCGAATCGGTCTTTGATGCTCCGGTGCGAGGGTGAGCGCGTCGGTAACCAGCAACCGCATGAATCAGCACCCAGTGTCAATAATGCACTACCATCAAATCGACTTTGAGCAGATGTCGACTGTGATTAGAGTGGCCGCCCCCGATGCGATATATCCTCCTGACAGTCCGTCGAAATCCGGGCTTAGAGTTCAGCAGAATGATGCTTGAGGGAGGGAGGGGGAACATTCCGGAAGCGGGAAACGGGCAGCCGCGCGCTCTAACTCGCCTTCCCGGTGCCAAGTGCCATTTAGCTTCATGATGCGACTTCGGTAAAGGAAGGTTCAAATAGATTGTTGGCTGGCGGCATCTTTTTTTCGACGCTTAACTCCTCGCGTGGAAAAGAAGCTCCGAAGGGATTTCGAGTTTCGACCCGAGAAAGCTATGGCGGTCCCATGGAGCATTTTCCGCGAGCACTCGTGGTTATCAGAACGATCCTGAGAATCTCGACAACCCTCTCCATGAGCAATGCTTGAGACTTGTTCGAACGCTTCACCGGATATACTCGGTGTCGCGATCAAATCGGGGACAAGTAGAATTGTTTTTAGAACATAAACCCGTTCTCTCGAAATGAAAATGGCAGAGGTTTCCCCGAATCGAATGTAGCCCTCGTCTTCCTTGCTTTGGGGTGATTCCTTGGGGGGACAGGCTAATTAGCTGAGGCGGTCTGGCGAGTCATGACTCATGAATCAAACCCTGACACACCCCTAAATCGGGCTCCTATTTACGTATGCGTCTCCCGCAAAACCGCAGGAGCAAGTGTGCCGCATCCGATGCCCAGATCGCCTCATCGGAAGGTTTTATCGATAGGCTTCGCCGCCCCGATCGTCGAGATTGGTTCGAACCGAAAACATGCACTGCGGGCTCCCCACAGGGCAAGTGAGCACCTCCTAACCCCCGGATCGCTTGGATCGGCCGAGAGCATGGCCTCCAGCGTTAACGAGTCGAAAAACATTCACCAGCAAAGCTGAGAGACTCGTCACATTCCTCCGTAGACAGAGGGCGGGGACAAATATCCCAGAGGAGGCGAAGTCGCCACAACGAGAACTTCGAAATCGGTCTACTTGCTCGGTACTGAGAATCGAATCCAAGACATCTCATACCATGCCGGTGGAGACGAGTTCCGACTCGCTCAGACTGGGATGGAATTTCGGGCGGTCCCACTTGAAAGCACCCGTCGACGATCATGTTCATTCAAGTCTCAGCTCTCACGCTTGGGTCACACCGGAACAACACGACTGAGGGATTCTCTCGCTCTATTTCGGCCCTCGATGAGGCTCGAGACTCAAGCCTATTCTTCCCACTGCGGGCATTCAGGACGCATAATGTTTTCTTTATGAAAAACAGTGAAAATTAGAATCGTTTGTAAGCGCACGTTGTCATGCTGCGTGGAGGGTCCGTGGCGTAAACACCGTCTTCCCGTCTCTATTCAGGGTATAATTCGCAGATTTGAGGGTCGCCGCGCAACGCTCGGAGATGGAGATTGACTTCGAAGACGCACGTCAGAATAGAAGAGAATTATCGATTCGTGACGAATCGGAGCACCACTGCTCCAGAGCCCCTCCCGGGTGTGTCCCCATAACACGAGAGTGCACAAATTGGGTTAAAGGCTTATATTAGTCTCTTGAGCGTCAATCAGCGATTCGTGTCAATTCTGAATCCGTTAAAGATTCACTAGCAGTCTTTCGATGAGAACACACATATTGTCGGAGGAACGGAAGTGCTGTATTCCATTAGCTCCACACGCCATGCACCGCTCAAGGAGTCTTCCGAAAAGCGAGTAAAGCGAGCTCGAGAGTTAGGGAATCAGTTAAGCGAGTATCTCACCCTACAGACGCGGCCGGGAATACAAGTTCTCGACCAGACCATCGGTGTCCAGCCAAATCCCCCAGGGTCCCCTCTGGAGACAAAACAATCACATTCGACCTTGCGAGAATCGGCTTCGCAACTCCGATCTCGAGCTGCAACATAGGAGGAGAATAACTCATGGATATTTCGCTTCCCATGCGAGGAATGCGAGTGCTTCTGTCGTGAATTATAGAATCTTCCCGGTGGGGCCACTCCGGGAGGATTTTCCTTGGAATGGACTCGGAGGAGGCAGACACTCCATGATCTTCCCTTACCCTGATTTCTTGCATTCCGATGCCACCGTCATCATCTGGCAAGATCATTCGCAAATATCGCAAGGGCGCAAATAATCTGGTGAATTCCGAACTTCAAGCTTCAACTTATTACCTATGGTATAATGGTCTCCAAGATATTTAGCATGATCGAATACTCGGACAGCTTTATTCTCCGGCATCTGAATACCGATGATGAAAATGTTCAGGTACATGTTTTCCTGACGATCCAATATTTGCAAGATAACCGAATATAACCGGGAGGATTCCGCACGATTGGCGCTTAACCTTCAGGCAATCCTCCTCGGGCAGAAAGCACAGTATGCGGAGTTCGCCGAATTGAGAAACTTCCGGGTCGAGTGATTTCTTTCTATATACCTGCTCCGGCAGCTGCATTTCGTCCAGGGAGACGTAAGTCATACCTCACATGAATAAGTCACGATTGCTCGCTGCCTCCTTGCATTCCAGACATGGCTTGATTACAGCTCTTGCAGATTCTCATCATTGCTCTTCGTGGGGCAAAATAAGGTTCTTCGTGATTGCTCTAGATTCATTGGGGAATGCCTGCCGTTGTCTTCCTTGAGGTTCATAGTTTTGCCGTCGGTCAATGTATCGGACGAGTCTTCTCTCTCTTGCAAGCGGGTTAAGGATCATTCATCAATTCGCTCGGTCGAGTGCGCCGCCCCCGGGAGATTATCGCGTTCAGTCCAGATCTTAGTTTAGAGTGGATTATCAGAGATCAGTTTCGTTCATATTCTTCGATTTCAGTCCAGTTTCGCTCCAATTTTTCGATTTTAGCTCAGTTTCGCTCTTTCGATTTTAGTCCGGTTTCGCTCAGATTCCCCGATTATAGTTCATTCCAGATTGTTCGATCTTAGATCAGTTTGGCTCTTTCGAATATAGTCCGGTTCCGCTCAGATTTTCCGATTTCAGTTCATTCCAGATTGTTTGATTCCGGTTCAGTTCAGATTATTAGATTCTGGTTTAGTTGAGCTCACAGGATTTCAGTCAATTTCAGATTTCAGGATTTCAGTCAATTTCAGATTTCATTTCACAAGATTTCATTTCATTTTATTCAATTTAACAGGGTTTTGGTCGGCTTCAGATTTTTAAATTTTAGTCCAGATTATCAGATTTTCCTCGCGTTTAGGTTATCCGATTCCAGTTTGGTTCGAATCGTTAGACTTTAGTTCAGTATAGATTATTAGATTTCACTTAAGTATAGATTACAAGATTTCGGTTCAGTTCAGATTCTAAGATTTCAGTTTGGTTTAGATTATTAGATTTTGGTTTCCCTGGATTATCGGATAATAATTGAATCTAGATGATGGAATTCAGTCGAGTTCAGAGTCAAAGACATTAGTTTAGACATTAAGAATTTGGTTGGGTCCAAAATACAAGATTTTGGTGGAGGTCAGATTTTTCGATTTAACTTCACTTGAGATGATTAGATTTCAATCTCATCCAGCTTGAAAGCCTCCGCGGAGTCAAATTATTTTCATCCCGGAGCATGCGGTTAGAACCGGACTGAGCTCAGGAATCCGGTGCTCGCATCATCATCATCTAAATGTTCTTTTCATTCTCGTATTTCGATAATTCTCCCACGCGGATGAAGTGAAAGCGTTATGCGTAGCGTTCGAGAGGAGGCGTAGTCCTGTGTCCTGCCTCAACCTGGTTCCCGCTTCCACGAAACGCGAGACCACGAAATTATTGGGGGCGACCCAGGCTAGCTCACCACGCTCTAGATGTCGGTCATGTATAATGGACCACTGTTGATTACTCTGATGAAGTTCCTGGAATGAGATAAAGCTGCAGTCCGAATGAACTTGACCATCCACCCTGGGAGCCGTCTAGTGGAGATCATCTAGTGTAATGTCTGCCTTCGCTGTCATGGCAACTCTCAGCGAGCGAGAGCCAGCAGGCCGGACATTTCCGAAGTTGACCCGATTCTCCGTATTCTGTGAAGATGGGTTTCGAGTACGATGTGACCATGGTTTCCAGCTACGATACACTCTATCCCTGTGAGAACATCACAAACGGGTGGGAGACGATTTTCCCTTCGTATTCGATGGAGAATGGATACTGATATTCGGTTCGCTCCTATGTCCAACTTCAAATATTCCAATGCTTAACAGGAGCGGCGCCGGTTTCTGGACCACGACAGGAACTTATCCCCAGTGCTTGGTGATCACACTGAAAGAGACGACTCATGTGAAGAGTCTGGAACTGTTTTCATGCAACGGTACGTCCCCTCTCGAGCTGAAACGTGAGAGTTGGATTTCTAGATTGAATTTTTCTATTGACGGGTGTCCGGAAGCGGAGCTTTGACGATAGCCCGTCGGTAAATAATCCATCGCTGATTCTTCTCAGTAAAAGGGCTCCGCATTGAAGGCAGTGCGTCCGAATCAGAGGCCCTGAATTTCGAAGAAATAACTCAACAAGGTGAATGGAGTCCACCTATAGGGACAGTTCCACTCATTATATCGGAGTTCTCTTGGTGATCGATTCCGTATGAGCGTGACTTGCTGCTGGACTCAGAACTCAGAATGGCTCTCCTTTCAGAAATTCCCCCGGGTAATCTCCAGAAAACGACCGTCAGCGACATAAATGGCGATTTCAAACACCTGAAATTCGATATTCTCTCCGGTCATGAACATTTCGCCTCCATCCACGATCTCACCGTTATGAACGGGTAACGTGTGGACGAGGACGAGGCGCATACCGTGGGTCTTTCCAAGTACAACTCCGGACACCATCGTAGGCATCCGTAGATCGGGTTGGCATCAATCGGTCACCTATGATTGGCCTTTATTCTGAGCTCAATCAGACCAGCCTTTCAATCATCACCCGATCACCTTATACTGCATATGATTAAGACATTACATGCATCCGTCCCGAGGCGGATCGGAAATAAAGACAGCAAGTTGGTACAGCGCGCAAGTCGATCGGCAGGTGTCTCTCTCAGGGATGGAGGCTCGGCGCGGAATGCTCTCTAGCAAGTCCCGAAGATCTGCTGGTGCCGACGGAACGGTTAAATACCACCTTGAAATCTCCACAGATTCTTTCTTGGAGGAAAGCAACTTACCTGGGAGAGGGAGTGAGGTCGGGAACACTCTCGAAGCCCCCTACAAGATCTCTTGTCGGCCCACAGGGCTCCATGTTTAGGCTTGTCTTCATCGGTGGTTGGCCCCTACCGAGATAACGGCCCTGCCTCCCACAACGTCCTAGGCATGAGTCCTAGGCAAAGCCCGAGCCCTGTGGAGCTCGTCCAAATCGCGCACGGGCGGCGGCCTGGCTGGGGCGACCCCGAGAGACGTTATCATCGAGGAACATCTCTGTAGTCGAGGGTATGCTCTCGAGTTGGACCTCGTAGCACCAAATCAAAGTTCCTGGGTTTGCTTCTGGCATGGCTCCCGAAGACAGCTCAGTCAATCAGCGAGTTAAGTGACGTCGATCATGACCAGATACCTGCTGCTCCGTGACGATTTCGTGAAAAGAATGTTCAACCTACAGCTCGGGTCGGGGCATGACAACCGTCCTCGCGAGCGCCGTCATTTCACGGAGTGTGAGCCGTCTTGCTCGGAGTACGTCTCAGTTTGCAAAGCGCACGTTTCGATTATTTGTCTCCGGAATGATGGTCAAAAACAAGAGAGCATACCTCACATCGAGGCGAAAATGAGACTACTACATTCTTCCTCCTCCTGAAATCGGGCACACACACGTGATTGCGAGCTTGCGCCATTTTCTCCGAGCACCGTATCCCACCGTGGCTAGCGGCTGAACAGTAAGAGCTGCATATCCAAAGTTCGAGTCCATTGCGCGCGAAGAGACCACGTCGAGTGTATAGGACGTGGGAATTTCGCCTACTGGTCCATTTCGAATGTTTAGGTGTGAATTCTCGAGAACTTCCGACGCTCTTTCCGAGAACGGGAGGAGCCTCCTCGGTGAGTGGACTGATCCGTCGTGCACTAGAGAGGAACGGCCTCCGTCTCTCAGCTCCCTCCCGAATCCGGACCACCGAGAGAAGTCTCTGTGAGGCAGCGTCCACCGCGAGAATGACCTCCATAGCCCTACTCGGAAGGACGCGCGGTCTCGCAAACCCCCGAGGCCCGGGGAAAGCGGATCGCCACGGAGTGCCACGCACAAGGACTTAGGTGGTGGACATCTCCCTGCTCCGAAGTCGTTAGATCCAAGACCCTCCAGGGGATATCGGCGGGTGAGAATCCTCTTCAGTTGACGCCGAAACCGTGGACTACTAGAAGTGATTCGATGTCGAGTAAGAGCCCAGGCTCGGGCCAGAGACACGCCATTTGATGAGACGGAGACGGAAAACGGGCGGCGGAGAAAGGCTGCGGAAAACTGGCGCATCAGATGGGATCGGGCCCATTTCTAGGTGGCACTATTAAGAATCCCGGGGGAAGAAGCCCCCTTCCGGGCCCCCTCGGTTTCACAGAACTGGTCCTGTGTGCAGGTCGATTAATTATGAGAACTCGATAAGAGCCCAGACGATTCTTTCACTACGAAGAAGCCTCAGATCTATACCACCCGCTGGATATTCATATCTCCCCTTCTGCCCAATGACCGCTGTCCTTCTGCAGCTTTTAAATAATTCCCCTCGCCTGGCTGATTATCTACTAAGGAGGTTCTACCTGTGGCTGTTTTCCCAGACCCAGACAGTGGGGCTTCCGAGGGCCTTCCTTCAAGGAACGGAGCCGCCGTCCCATTCGTATCTCTGCTGTCTAAGCTTGGCTGGCAAGACGAGGATTGGGGTCGTCCTATGATACCTTTCCTGAGAGGAACAATCGATGTTCCTGCCAGCGGATCATCAACCAACTCATTTGACGTTCGGAACGGCGTTACATTTAGAAACGAGGCTCTTCCGTATGGGCGGAGGCTCGAATCTAGGGTTCGGAGTGGACGAATCGGCACAATTGGCCCAGCTCCTAGTCTCACGGGTCAGATGCGACTATGAGATCGCGAATATTGGAATCAAGTCGGCAGCTACCAGCGGGATGTAGCAACACCAAGCGCGTATGCAGAAGACGATCTTCGATAGGAAGGCTTTTCTGATCGCAGTCGAACGTGACTCCACTATGAGAGCGCGATTCTTGAATTCTTCCGAGGGCTAGAGGATCAGCTCCCCTAGAGTCAAGCATCGCAGCCCGATCCAAGTTCCGAACAATTCTGTATCAGGGCGCCCAGACTTTGGAAAAGTTCGTCCCGATATGGAGCGACGCTCTGCATTCGCCGCCAAATGAGAAGCAGACTCTTCAACCAATGAAAATTCAGATGTCATTCCGGTGATTATATTTTTATTGCGAGAAACGAGAAACGATCGTCTTCAGCGTTCCACCCCTTGTCTGCAGCGAGGT